ATTGTCTATGACTGATTTTGCAATAGACAGAGACTGCATGGCCCATAAAACCCAAACTATTTATTATCTGACCCTTTGAGTAACAGTGTGAGGATTCCTGGTTTAAACCATAATGCTATATGATGAATTATTTATAATTGAAGAGCAATTATTGAATACCTAAACCAAAATGCAAAAAGCGATTTTTCCCCTTTTCTGTTATATAACTTAAGAAAACATCAAACCATGTGAAATGCTACGTTATTCTCTTTCATACGTTGCTTGCTAGTCTTGCCCTTGCTCAGTTTTGACAAGAGCAAGTGAAGCTTTATTCTTGTTTTCTACAAATTTGAAAATCACTACATTCTAAAAGATCCCGTTATACCTTCTCCCACTCCCCAACCCCAAAAGAATTTGAAAGAGAAAGAATTTTTCTCTGTGGTAGCGAATGTGGGACTTTTTTTTTTCTCTTTGCTTCATTCCAATCTATTATATCAAACACAGAAATTCCCCTTTCTTTCAAAGGACTAGAATTTATTTACTTGCCTAGTTATTCACATATATGTCTCTTTAAGTTATTACATAATATGTGCTTGATTAGTGTATTTATTTGTAATAAATACATGTATTATTTATTTTTTGAGCACCTCTTTTAATTAGACTAATAAAGAAATATCTCTTAGTTCTTTTGTTGCTTTTACTACTATTGTTCGATTTTTGTTTTATTTCAACTCTGGGTTATTTCCCGGAGGTGACTCTTAAAAATGCTAAGGTACATTTATAAACTGTGCTTTAGAATAGGGTTACACTCTCTGAAATAGTTAATCATGTCCATCTATTTCCTTGTTATCAGTAATCTTAATTCCACCTCTTAGGTACATGTTATTTTAGTTAGCACCATATTCAAATTATAGAAGGGATTTAAAGATTTTATAGTCCTATTCCAACTGTGTTACTTTACAGATGAGGAAACTGAGGCAAGCAGATAACTTTCCATATCATACTACCTAGGAAGAAAGCTTGGGTTAGCCACCCCACCCAAGTCATTAAGTCCTAGACCACAGAGCTCAATCACCATGAGCAGAGGAGGGAGTTGAGCCAGTATGATGTGCTTGTCCATTTGAGAAGTTACACGGAGTACATATTTAAAGTATGTATTTTGAAACTATGCTTATAAATAACCTTCACTTAATAGCAGTATATTTTGACTACTGCACATAGCTTCAAATCTAGACATGAGGGATAATAATGCCCACCTCCGGGGGGATTGTGTCTCTGTTCTTCACTTTTCCTTCCTCACCAGCTGTACCACTTTTGAATCCTTAAGTTTCATGCTGGCTGCTAAAAATTAACCTGAGTTCCTGCCTCCAGTTCTGCACTCCTCACTCTTTCACTCCCAAACCCCATTTGAGTTCTCCCCTCACAATTCTTCTGGAACTGTTTTCTTGAAGATCTTGATGACCAACTTCCCCCAGATATCTTCTCAGCCCTCATCTCATTATCCCTTCTTCCGGTTCTGCTCTCCAGACCACCACTGCTTTTTCTGCTACTTTGTCTTGTTCATAGCTTCTTTCCCTTCACCTCTTCAATTTACATCTTTTCATATGATGTGTTTCTACCTTTTTTCTTAGTCTGTGTTCCTTCCCTAGAAGTTCTAGCTATTCTCAGAGTATTAATCCACCTGTCTGTGTAGGACATCTGTGCTTCTGACATCTGTTATGGCTGCTGAGTCCCACCTAGTCCTCCGATAATTTCAGACTCATTGCCTTTGCAGCTGAGCTCATCTCTTCTTCCTTCATCACAATAGACATTCCCTCCTTTGTTCTTCATCTTTGCTAATCTCTAAAATGTACAGATGCTCCTCGATTTACAATGGGGTTGTGTCCCAATACACATATCATTAAGATGAATATATCATAAATCAAAAACACAGTTAGTACACCTAAATTACCCTAAGAAAATATCTAAATTCAAAATTTGAATTACACAATTTCTGTTGAACATGTATCTCTTTCACACCATTATAAAGTCAAAAAATTATAAGTTGAACCTTGTAAGTCAGGCGACATCTGTATGTGGGAATACAGAGGACCTGGATTATCCTAAGCAGTCTCTAAAAGGAAAAAGTTGACGAGCCTGTACTACCTAATTTCACGATTTACTGTAGCGATAAAACAGTAAGACAATGTGGTTGCAGCATCAGAATCAACAAACAGGTCAGTGCAACAGAAAAGATAGCCTAGAAATAGATCTGTGCTTTACAGTCAGGTGATGTAACAAAGGTGCCAAAGCAATTCGCTGAGGAAGGGAAAGTCTTTTGTACAAATGGTGTTGGAATAATAAGGTATTCATCTAGATAAGCAAAATGAATCTCAGCCTCTACCTTATACCACAAAGTAAAAATAATTTGAGGTGGACCTTAGTCTTAAATGTGAAAACCAAAATAATGTGTAAAATACACATAGAACACATAGGAGAATATCTTCATGGCTGAGGGATAGGTGAAGGCTTTTTAGAAATGTCATAGAAATTAAACACTATATGAAAAGAAAATCAATGAATAAAACTTCATCAAAATTTAAAACTTTTATCAAAATCACAGTTAAGAAAATGTACAAGCAACAACAGACTAGGAGAAAATATTTTCCAAAATACACACCTGACAAAGCACTGTATCCTTTCCCAGTATATCTAGGAAGCATAAAAAATTCCTATAATATATAGTATGTGTATAAGATATAATTCAATTTTTTAAAATGAGCAAAAGAATTGAAGAATTTACTAATGAAGATGCACAAATGGATAGTAAGAACATGACCAGCAATCAGTCATCAGATTTTAAACTGCAAATTAAAATCCTAATGAGAGGCCACTATACATCCTCTATCCTGGCTAAAATTCAAAAGACTGACAATATCAAATGTTGGTAAGATTGTGGAGCAACTGGAACTTTCCTGCTGTACTATAGGGAATATAAAATTGTACAAGCACTTTGAAAAACTAAATAGAAGGGTTTTTTTTTTTTCTAAAATTAAACATACACCTAATCTATGAAGCAACAAGTTCACTCTTGGGTATTTATTTAGAAATGAAAGCATAGATCACAAAAAGACCAGTACAATGATTACTAGCAGTTGAAACTGGAAACATCCCTGATGTCCATCAGTAAGAGAATAGATAAACTCTGGCATGTCTATTTATTGAATACTGTTCAATAATATAAAGGAATGGATTTTTAATAAATGTAATAAGAGGAATGAATTCCAATATGCTGAGTAGAATATATCTTACACAAAGAGCACCTACTGTGGTTCCATTTACATCAAATTCTACAACAGGCAAAACTAACCTTCAGTGGGAAAGAAATCAGAACAGTGGTAGCCTCCAGGGAGATGGAGGGGGGTTGACTGGTGTAAAGAGTTGGGGATTTAGGTGCTGATCAAGGAAAAATGACGATGATCATTGCACAAGGTTGCAAGAGAAAGGAAATTCCTCACCACATGAGACTGTCCAGAGGCTTATGACGAGTGACCACCGTTCAAAAGGGGAAGAGGGCAAAAGGATTCCCAGGAGAGAGGAGGAGCAGAGAGAGCATCTCCAGAGATTACATGTCCAGGTGAGGTCCTGCAGTCAGGAAAGTCTGGGTCAGAGAGCTCTAAGGCAGTAGCAATCTGGGGTCTCATAACCACAGATTCTCTCTTAGCAATGGCCAGCAGAAGCTAGGTGTATTTTTATGAAGTATGCAAAACAGACAAGCTGTTAGTGGCTAAATTATGTTTGTTTGGGCTATTTTTTAATTGATTGGGTATGTCAAAATTTGATTTTGACACCAATGAGCTTTTGAACTAATGGATCTCAGTCTCCAGTCAAGAAATAACCCAGGGGTCAATCCATAGAGATTATATTTAGTTAATTTATATAAAAACCAGAAGGGGCAAGACATAATTTTTTGAGTGATTATAATGTTCTATGTCTTGATAGAGGCTTAGATTACACAGATGAATACATTTGTCAAAGTCAACGCATATGCTTTAAAAAGGGCTTTATAAAAAAATAGCAAATATAAAGATTTGTGTATTTGTACATTTTGGATATAAATTTTATATCAAATAATCTAAGTATTGAACTCTAGTTAATGATATGCATGCTGAAGTCTTGGGAGGCATATGTATGCTTTATGCAGTTTATACTGAAATGCCAAAAATAAAATGTATTAATGAATTGATAGGCCAAGTACGGTGGCTCGCGCCTGTAAATCCCAGCACTTTGGGAGGCTAAGGTGGGAGGATCTCTTGAAAGGCTTCAAGAATTCAAGACCATCCTGGTTAGTGTCATGAGATCCCAATCTCTACCAGAAAAATTAACAAATTAGCCAAGTATATGGCACATGCCTGTAGTCACAGCTATGTGGGCAGCTAAGGCAGGAGGGATCACTTGAGCCCAGAAGTTGGAAGTTACTGTGAGCTATGATCGTGCCACTGCACTCCTGCCTGGGTGACAGAGCAAGACCCTGTTTCTAAATAAATGAATGAAAAGATAGAAGGATAGATAGTCGAATGGGTATATAATAAAGCAACAACAGTAAAGTATCAACCTAGGTTGAGGTACACATATATGTGTTTACCATAAAATTACTTCAGCTTTGTGTTTCAGAATTTTCTTTTTTGAATGTTAAAAATTCCATTTATTCATGCTAAATTTATTTCATAATATGCGTTTTTAAATAGCTGTCATAATGTATAAATTTGACATTCTAAATTTTTACCAAATACTATTTCATTTGTACATTTCTATTTCTTCACATGGTTTACAAATTTTCTATGATGCTAAATATTGTAATTTTCATAATGAAATGTTAAAGACTATGGTGTGAAGAATAGACTGGGGACCAGGAAGGACATTGTGCCATTGTTAGAGGTTTTTTTTTTTTTTTCTTTTTAACCAACTATATAATTTCATAAAAACTTGGTCCTATATTTGATCATTTGACTAACTGATGTGTGGAATTTGATCTGTTACAGGGAAAGTCCTTCTGCCAGCATCGACACATGTGCATTTCTGTCATCATTTGTGTGCTCCAATAGGACTCTGCTGATTGATGGCCGGGTAGAACTCAAAAGAGGCTTGCAGAGGCAGGAGCGGCATCTTTTTCTATTCAATGATCTGTTTGTTGTGGCCAAAATCAAGTAGGTAGACTGCACATTCTTTCTCGGTTATTATAAAATTGTGTGAAGATACCCTTTCTACTCAGTGTTTATTGTAAGAATGTTTAGCCTCTGTTACTAAACCTAATATTTAAATTAAGTTTTCTGTTTGTTTCCTTTTTTGCAAAAAGTGTTTCAATCACTTATTCATTCAGCAGGTATCCATGTAGCTCCTGTGCCATTCCCTGGATAAATGCAGAAAATACAATGAAGAATGTGATGGGTTTTGACCTTATTCTAATGCAGGAGCTTCCTTATATGGGTGGAAGGTGGGGGACAGATTGTGATTGGTGCTATGAAGAAAATCAGGTACTGGGTGAAATAAAAGATGAGTCATATCTTGGAAAGGTATAGCCAGGGGGAATAACCACTGAAGGATGAAAAGCAACCAGCTATTTAGATAGATATTGGTAGAGGGAACAGGTACAAAAATGTTGGTGAAAGCTTGGCCCTTGGAGGAGTTTAAAGCAGGCCTGTGTAACTGGAGCCTACTGAACAAAGGATAGGAATTAAGTTTAATGGAGTAGACAAAGATTAGTTTAACAGGACCTTTGTAGGCTATAGTGATGAGCTCTTGCTGTATAACAAATGACCACGAACATCGTAGCTTAAAACTGCAAACATCGCCCACATTTTTTCTGGTGCAGAATCTGGGAGTGTTTCACTGCATGGTTCTGGCTCACAGGCCCTCAAGCTTCTTGTGCACTTACAGATATCTTAAGGCTCAACCAGAACTAGAGCATCCACTTCCGAGCTCCGTCGTGTGATGCCGGCAGCCTTAGCTCCTCTCTGGCTGTTGGCCAAAGGCTTCTCCTCCATGTGGCCCTCTCCACAGAGCCAGTCACAATGGCAGTTACTTCCTTCACAGTGAAAGATCTAAGAGAATGAGAGAACAGGCCATTGGAATAGCAGCCAACAGGGAAAACAAAGTCTTTTGTACTCTAATTTTGGAAGTAGTTCCATCATTCCGATGGATGCAGTTGGCCACATAGACCAGCCAGGGTACATCATGGAAGGGAACTACACAAGGGTGTAAATATCAACAAGTAGGATCACTGGGGACCTTCTTGGAGGCTTGGGACCACAGAGGCTATGGTAAGGACTCCAGAGGTGTAATATAGTTCATATTTTTTAAATACAATTCTGGCTCATGTTAGATAATGGGTTGGAGGGTAGGCAAGAGTGGTAGCAAGGAGACAAGATAGGAAATTATTGTAGTAATCCTGACGGGAGATGATGAAGGCTTTATCTGAGGAAATAAGTTTAGAGGAAGATACACATATTTAGAATATACTTTAGAGGTACCCAAGAGGATTCACTTTCCACTCAGTACTAAATGCCAGTGCAGTTAACACCCAGCCTAGAATGTGGTAGCTGCTACTTGCTCCATTCCCCATTCTTATTTATGATATGTCAGAAAAGATAAAAGTATTTTAACAAATCCAATCTCATGCAAGAGATCTGTAGTCAATAGAGAATGTAAATGCTTTTTTCTACTACCCATACTCACATACCCAAATTATTCAGTGTCATAAATAAGACACAGGTAAGGCTAAAAAAATCTGCAGAACATTCTAATTAATAAGTGGTATCAATAACAATAGAAACCAAGCATTTATTAGGATCTTTTTATATGGTAGATATTCTTCTAAAGAGTTTAAACCTTGTAGGTGTTCTCGTAAGTAGTTATTTATTTTCCTCATTTTACAAAATAAATTGATACTCAGAGAAATTAGGTGACTCCCTCAGGAATATAGAGTAATTAATTGAACCCATATTTGGACCTATTCTGTCTTATTTAAAAGTCTATTTTTAGCCGGACGTGGTGGCTCACACCTGTAATCCCAGCACTGTGGGAGGCTGAGGCTGGAGGATTGTTTGAGCTCAAGAGTTCAAGACTTGTCTGAGCCAGAGTGAGACCCCTACTTGACAAAAAATAAAAAACACAGTCCAGTACCCTGTGGCAAGCGCCTGTAATCCCAGCGACCCAGGAAACTGACTCAGCAGGATGCCCACAGCCCAAGTCGGAGGTTGCAGTGAGTTCTATGGTGTACTCTGCTCAGGGGATAGGGTGAGACTGTCTCAACAACAGCAAAAATGGCTGTTTTTTAATTAGCATGTGGTCTGCTTCCTCTATTACTTAACTCTTTCTTTCATTGTGGATTTTGTAGAAATTCCTCCACCATGCAGTGTTGTTCACCCTTAAATCAGTCTTTCCTTTAGCCTGGGTAAAAGGCTCCAACTAAATAACTCATTTAGTACGAAGTAGTATAGAATGTTTAGTGAACTTATCAAAATTAAAGGCAAACATGCAGATAATGAAACTGTTTCAGAATGTTTGAATAGAAGTAATACCTACAAATGTAGTTTTTGAAGTGGCTACGATGTCATGAGTAAAAGAATAAAACAGGGTGTTATATATAGGCCTTTGGACGTGAAAAGGCTTGAAGCTCTCACCAGAGAGGCTGTTAGTAAAACAAGTCATTTTTTTAAAATATTCTTTTATTTAAAATTGTTGGATGGGTTCTGTATCCTAGGTAAATCACAAAGGTCTCATTTACTTTTCCTAGAAACTCACCCAGGATAAAAGTTGTTTTATCTGTTAGAACACTAAGGCTCAGAGAGGTTTGTCATAGACTGGGGAATGACAGAGCCCGGGTTTGAATATAGATCTTAATTCCAAAGGCTGGCTCTTTCTGTCTGCCTTACCACGTCATACCCATTAGGTGCAAAACTTAGCCTGGACTTAGATTAGCAGACAACAACCCATTTCTTGAACTTCAGGACCTAAAAGACTATTTACTGGTAACCTGCATATGACTCTTAAGGAAGAAGGTATTTTCTTTCATCTTTGTGGGACTTTTTTCCTTAGAAGTTACAATATTTAAAGAACTTTTGTTTTTTTAACCTTAAATTATCTATTGTTCTCTGTATTCTTCACATCTAACTGGTTTTTATATGAATTTAGCCAATTTTTAAAAGAAATTTATTACATGATCATTCTTAAAACAAGCATTTTGATGTAGTCATAGATCTTTCTTAATACAAAAGAACTTAGTTTCTTTTTGGTTGCTGTTTATTTTAGAAAAAATTGTCTCCTACAATACCAAAACTTTGTCTTTCCTGTATTCTTACCTTGGATAAAGAGCTGGATGGTGCCCTGGATCAGTTAGTAAGTTGCACTGATCTGAGACCAGTGCTTAGTCTTTATGCTTAGCCATAGGAGAAAAGGGGAGACTTTGAGTTCCATATTATGTCAGCTCATTTACAGGCTTCATTTGGAAACTGCTTTCAGTCCTTGGGTTAGTTCTGCAGAAATAAACTCAAGTAAGATAAATAATTGACCAGCTGCCACACACTAATTTAGTCAAATTAAGTGAATTTTAGCAAGTGCAATAATAGAGTATTAAATTCTTCCTTTTATTAGCTAAAGTATTATATTTGCTCCATTGTGCTGGACATTGATAATTGCTGGAATTGTTTTGAATTTGTTGTCATTCTTTTCCATACTACATTAGGACAGTATTAAAGCCAAATGGGGCCCTGGGAGCTACTTTTGTAGTCATTAGGAAGATAAGTTATTTTCCAATAAAATTATGGCTTTAATTCTTAAAAACAGGATTTTTTTTTAACATTAAGTTATTTAGAAACAAGTTAATATTATCTCTAATAATACCACAGAGTACATACATGGATTTTACAGAGGAAATAATTGTACTTTTCTCAACACCCTCTTAAGCCTCACTATTCTCATATTTTATGAGAAAAAGCAATTAGTAAATAGTACTGAGTTCTGTAAGATAAGAAAGATGAAGTAAACTCAGTATCATTAGAATTATTATCAGATACTTGTGTAATATATCATGATCTCTTCAGCCAGACATATTCAATACCACATTTCCATCTCAGAATGGGAAGACTCTCCCCCTAGAATCCCGTATATTTCAGCAGCTCACGGGAATTCCTTCCAGTATGAACTTTAGAGGATAGGAAAGCAAAGTACAGAGGATATCTGTCATCTCAGTAGATTTGTAGTAAGGGACTATATGGTAGAAATAATTTATTTTTTAGATTATTTGGGGTTTTTTTTCAGTCAGTTCACGTTAGATTTTTACTTTTGATTTCTATAGTCTAGTGCTATTGGAGATCAAGAGTGAAAAATCTAAAGGAGTACAGTATGACCACAGGACTGTTTGTTCATTTGATATAAGACTTGTTGAAATATTCATTTGACTTATTTTCAAGCTAGTCCAGGTAACTTTGTATGTAAAGTTCAGAATATTCCTTCCCAAACCTCCATTATAAACAAACAGCTCCTTCAGAAAGCCTTGTAGCTCTGGAGAGATAAAAAAAAAAAAAAAAAGTAGGCCAAAGAGAAAAGCTGAAGGGACCTTCATGGAAAGATGCTTTCTTCCAGGTGCTTTATGGGAGTTCTTAGATCAAGGCTTTTCATAGCACAGTGAGTAAGAGCTCTTCACAGTAAACTGAGGGGCCAGCGCTGCCCAAGGTCAGATTTTAGCTCCACCTCTTGAATTATTTGAGTTTTGGCAAGTTAATCCCTCTATGACTCCGTTTTCCTTACCTATAAAATGTTTGAGTCTTAAATAGTATATGTAAGGTATTTAAAACCATGATGGCACATGGTAGATTCTCAGTAAATACTGGCCATTATTTTTAGATAGGGGAATGGGAGTCACTGTTCATACTTTTAGACAGTTCCTTGTTTTTAGCACCCGTGTGGCACTTTACTGATCTAGGAAAAGGATGATTGGAATGACTTTTTTCCCAGGTCAGTTGGTGTGGGTGTTTCCTATCTGTGGTATTCAATATAAATAAAGATCTGCATTAGAAAACAAAAACTGTGTGAAAACAAATGTAGAAAAATACCTTTCTTTCAAAATATTCGAAGTTTCAGTTTTATAGTACCTAAATAATTGGCATCACGAAATAAAATTCAGTCTGTCATTGAATCTGTTTCTTAAAGAAATCTCAAGATTCATAGAAATAGGATAAAAAATATTGAACTAAAATATAGGACGGAGCCATTGTGCCATGAGGCACTTTTCTATTCCTCTGAAATTCATTTCACCCTGTGTGAAGGAGAAGAGGCCTTAACTATAGATTATTCTTCATGTATAATTCCTGCAATGTCTTTTTCATCATAATTACCACTTAAAAGTTTAGCCTTACATATTCCATGATATTAGAGGAGTTTTAGGGATATTTCTATTTGTGAGTTATCTTTCCTTTTCCACAAGTGGTTCGGGATGCTGGGCTGTACCCGTTTCCCTGGGCATCCTCTTTATCCTCCTCAGTGCCTTCTATTTCAGTGCAAGCCCATCTGTCAATTAGGTCAAGAGATACGTCTAAGGGGGATTAGGCATAAATTGTCAAAATTTAATTTCACTGCTGATTTAAAGTACGTCACTATCTGAGTCCCCAGAGATAAACGTTAATTGTTTCAATCCTACTTTCTTTTAGGTTCTTTTTTAGGCTACAGTTCTTCAGTTTTAGCCAGAATATAAGGTAAAATGGTTGAACAAAATCTTAAGAAAGGAAATTTAAAATAATCTATGCTTCTAAAGACTAGAAAAATCTTATAAACACTCAGGTGAAAATGTATTATAAATTCCTCTGATTACAGGTTTTTTCAGCACATCTCTCTTAAAATGAAAATTTTATAAACATTTCAATAAATTGATATTTTTTGTGTTTAGCCACTCAAATCCTCTTGGAAATAAGCAAGTTAGGGATAATAAATGATTGAATTTTTCTAACAGCAGAAATTTATGGTTATGTTTTTGATCCAAATGAAGTGCTCAATGTATAAAAAAATAAAGCATTCAGTTTATGGGTATTTGCTGCCATACAGGTAGGCATGAGGAACAAATGTTTCACCAAATGTTTTAAAGACCTTCTGGGCCCAGGTAGACAATTACATTACCATTTACTGGGGGAGGCACCAGACTTCGGGCTACACTGCAAGTCTGTAGTGATCAAAACAGCATGGTGTAAGCACAAAAATAGAGACATAGAGGTGTGGAGCAGAACAGAGAACCCAGAGGTGAAGCCAGCTATTGCCATCTGATCTTTGACAAAGCAAACAAAAGCATACACTTGGTGAAAGAACCCCTACTTAGTAAATGATGCTGGGAGAACTAATTAGCCACATTAAAAGACTAAAACTGGACCCTCACCTCTCACCATTTACAAAAATGAACTCATACTGGATAAAAGATTCAACTCAAATCTAAGACATGAACTATAAAAACTCTCAGAAAGTGTGGGAAAAACTCTGAATCTTCCTGGCCTATGGAAAAAAATTATAAAGAAGACCCCATTGGCAGTCACAGCAATACCAAAAGTAAGCAGGACCCGATCAAGTTAAAAACTTTCTGCACAGCTAAGGACACATCAACAAAGCAAAGTGACAACCTACAGAATGAGAGAAGATATCTGCATGCTATGAATCTAACAAAGGGCTAAAATCTAAAATCTGCAAATAACTCAAGCAAATCATCATGAAAAGACTAAACAACCCCATTGAAAACCAGGCAAGAGACATGAACAGAAACTTTTATCATGAGGACAGATGAATGGCCAACAAACACATGAAAAAAATGCCCATCATCCATAATCATCAGAGAAATACAAATCAAAACCACATTGAGATATTACCTAACCCCATGAGAATGGTCCACATCACAAGGTCCCAAAGCAACAGTTGCTGGCGTGGGTAGGGAGAGAACACTGCTGCACTATTTCTGGGTCTACAAACCAGGACAGCCTTTATGGAAAGAAGTGTGGAAGTTTCCCAAAGAACTAAAAGTAGACCTTCCATTTGATCTTGCAATACTGCTACTACGTGTCTACCCAAAAGAAAAAAAAAAAAGACATTTTATCATAATGTCATTTGCACATGAATATTTTTTTTTTTTTT